TTACCAATCAGGTTGAATCGTCTACTTGTAATCAATAACATTACTGATGACTAGTTCCTCTTGAGGTGTGTTCTATGCAGTGCTGGCTCTCTGGGACAGCTCACTGCTCCTTGTTTATTATCATACATCAGAATTGATGATTTATTATATGCTTTTTGTTTTCACAATTTCCTGTCTCGAACTTTAATGAAGGATAACCAGGGTCAAGGTGACCAGGTCACCATGTGACAGCGTACGAACTTGTGTTGTTTTCATAGTACTTCAGCAGACAGTAACCATAATGAAACTGCCTTTTTGGTTTGTTTGCTTTTGTTAATTTATTCATGGTTTTCTACCCGTTGTCGTAATATTTAAGCGCTGGTGCTCCATGCTTGCAGTAATGCTAATGCAAATGCACATTTTATTGTATCTGAGCAGCCAAAGTAAAAACAGCTCTTAAAAATCCACTTGACACACCAGAATAAGTATTGACATTTTCCAGAGGAAATTATATTTGAACTTTTGCTGAAAGTAAAAATGAAGTGGCAGCTCTGATGCTTCCAGACTCATCCTGAGTGCAGCTGGTTGTTCCCATTGATTTCACTGTAGAAACTGTGACAGGTCACTTGTTTACAGAAAAACATTTATGTGAATAAGGCCACTGTAAGATTTAAATAATTAATGAAGTGCAGCTGTGCCACATGTGTGCACTGATCCAAATGTGGAGGTACAGGTATTCAGTAAAATAAAAAAAAGAGGTAAATTCTGCCTTTGTTTGGTCAGTGTGAAGCAGAGTCTGAAGCAGATATTTCAAGATGATTAGCACTGCTGTGATGCTGAAGAAGACCGACCTGAGCTCTGGCTCTTAACACCCAAACAGCAGCTCTGGTGGCTTCAGCCTAGTTTAACCCCTGATTGTGTGGGATTGTCACGTTTTCAAACAGACCTGCAAGCCATGCATGAGAGTCATCCTTCATTTTCCTCTTTTTCCATTTCTCTGCATGGACTTTTATCTTTTAAAGGCCACTTCTTTCCTAACTGCAGGAATCCTTGGTGAACTTCAGTTCTTCAGAAGTGGACAGTGAATGTGTGTAAAAAAACAACAACAAAACACTCAGAATCATAAACGTCAGGGGACCACCATCATCTCTAGAGGTTTTAGTCAGATCTCAAAGAGCAGCTTAACACCAAGCTGAAAAGCAATGTGCTGCTGCCCTCTGGGGTTGGATGTTTTAAGCTTGTTTGCTTTGTTGCATCCGCACCCAACAGTTATGTCTCAGGGTCCTGGAGAACACCTGTCAATCAGCAGCAGGGTGAGAAGTTAAATTGCTGGAGGTCAGCAACGACAAGATTTTCCAAGCGTGCTGAGTTACTCTTGAAGGCGTGGGAAGGCATTTTGAATTTCTGAGCATCATGAATGACTTACGGTTTTGAGAAACCTTTTCCGCTGAGCCATGCGGTCACCTGCTCTGGATTTGAGTCCAGGGTGAGTGGTATTTGGATGCTGGATGATCGCTCAACACGGAACTTCCTCGTGGGTGGCTGACTTTTGTTTGCAGTGATCATCATCAATAGTTCATTGTTGACCTCATCCATCACTGCAGAAGGGAAACAGCATGGCAGCATGTGTCAGAACAAGAGTAACTACTTGTAAAAGTGGCTTTAAAACATACTTGTAATTCCTAAATCTGACTTAGTCTACTTGGTTATGTTCACTCACGTTTGTCTTTGTGTCTGCCCTTGTTAAAAAAAAAAACCCAATTGTTGGTGAGACCAGTGCCCTTTTTCATCTTGAGCACCTGGCCCTCAAAATGTCTGTGCACAGTCCACTATGCTCACATTTGCAGGCTCTTTTGTAGCTGTAAACACTAAAGCAAAATATCTGTAATTTTAAGAGATGGTGACAGTGCTAAATGCTAGATTTTCCATTATATACAAACATTTTGCAGGTAGGTGCATCAAAACCAGATAGATAGATAGACTATATTCTCTCCGAATGTCTACTGTGCAGTGATAGTGCTCAGTGCACGAGTAAGCAAAATCTGTGTACATGTATGCGTGTGTACCCATAGCCTATGTTGTAAGGATGATAAGATTAGACCAACACGCCACCCTCTACCAGGCGCACATCCGATACACCAGCCATGAGCTTATTGGGCATTGGTCAGTTTGTGCAGGATCTACTGTGCAACGATGGGTCCAGAAACCCTCGAACGATCAGCTTGTAGTTTGTACTGAATAGTTGGTGAATATATAAGGGCAGTTAGTGGACGAGTTTGGGGCTGTATACTGTTTAAAATGGGCATAAAGTGGACGGGAGCAAATAGAGTGAGCCGGTGTGTTAATGTGACAGAAACCCGGGCAGAGTAGCACAAATTTGGATACTGTAAGTATGAAATAGCCTATTAATTGTTTACCTAGCGGGCCTGTATGGGCAGTCTGCCATCCGTTATCCGCCATTATTGTTGAAATAAGTGTTTTGTGTGCTATTTCTGCATTAATCATATATTGTGATGATCCGCGACTTCTTAGCGTAGCCTGCAGCACAATACGCTGCTATAATAATGCATTCCCCTGTCGTGCATTGCAGCAGGGTAAAGGCTATTAATATTCCATATATCCACCCTCTACCAGGCGCACAGCCGATACACCAGCCATGAGCTTATTGCGCATTGGCCAGTTTGTGCAGGATCTACTGCGCAACGATTGGTCCAGAAACCCTCGAATGATCAACTCGGAGTTTGTACTGAACAGTCGGTGAATATATAACGGCAGTTAGTGGACGGGTTTGGGGATGTATACTGTTTAAAATGGGCATAAAGTGAGTTTGGGGCTGTATACTGTTTAAAATGGGCATAAAGTGGACGGGAGCAAATAGAGTGAGCCGGTGTGTTAATGTGACAGAAACCCGGGCAGAGTAGCACAAATTTGGATACTGTAAGTATGAAATAGCCTATTAATTGTTTACCTAGCGGGCCTGTATGGGCAGTCTGCCATCCGTTATCCGCCATTATTGTTGAAATAAGTGTTTTGTGTGCTATTTCTGCATTAATCATATATTGTGATGATCCGCGACTTCTTAGCGTAGCCTGCAGCACAATACGCTGCTATAATAATGCATTCCCCTGTCGTGCATTGCAGCAGGGTAAAGGCTATTAATATGATCAGAAATGACTTTAGAAATGTGAACCTGACATGTAGTCATGTTTTACGAATGACAAATGAAGCATACCCGCTGTGCATCACCCATAGCCTCTTGGTTGTCGAATTTCATCATCAATTATTAGTGAGCATGTTGCACTGCTCTTTGTTTTACTTGCGTTACAGTCAGGTGGATGTTAGAATGCAAACAGCAGCCTGTTAAAGCAAACCCCTCTTCCTCTGCACAGTGTGTGACTGTTACTTTGTTACTTTCTTCATCTTTTTTTACAATGATCTGCAGGTGTCGAACTCTGTGACCGATCCCTTAGTGCGCAGGTGGATCGAGGCCAGAGGCAGCAGTGAGGATGGGAGGTGGAGGCCAGCTGAGAGAGCCCGCAGAGCCGGACAGCGGCCGAGCTGCAGCTGTCTACACATGGGAGGAGGTTCAGAGCCACAGCAGCAGAAATGATCAGTGGCTGGTCATCGACAGAAAGGTCACTCAGTGGGCCAAAAGGCATCCAGGAGGGTTTCGGGTTATCAGCCACTATGCTGGAGAGGATGCCACAGTAAATGTGTTTTTTTTCTATCTAGGCCATTTTACAATACATATAATAAAATTAACATATTTTCCTGAGAATGTAAGAGGCTTTTGTGGTTGTGTCCATGCAAATTCTCAGTCATCCAGGTCGTAGTATGCTGAAAAAACTTAGAAGAAGGCATCTGGATGTAGTTTTACGTAGAAGATGTTTCACCTCTCATCCAAGAGGCTTCATCAGTTCTGACTGGTAGTGAGCAGGAGGTATTTATCCCCCTGGGTGGTGTTTCAGTCCTTCCAGGGCCAACAGTGTCCCCTAATGACCTAGTCGTTGGGGTTCCAGTCCTTTGGTGGACAACAAACCCCAAAACTTACTTAAAAACAAATTTCAAGTACTTTAGTTGAGTATTTCCATTTGATACATCTTTACACTTCTACTCCACCAACAGGGAAATATTGTACTTTGTACTTAACTATAGTGTATTTATATGAAGCTATAATTAATTTTCAGATTTACATAACCAACATAAAACAAAATAAAATAAAAAACACGTTTTTGTTGCAGAGCTTTTGCTTTTCCTTTCCCACCCCGTTACTCGTGTCACTTATCACTCGTTTGAAAACTACTCCATTCAAGCAAAAGACAGTATTATTAAAGTGCTGCTTTACACTGATGCATGTGTATAAGAACAAGCTTAGAAAAACTACATTCACAGATCATTTTGAACGTAGTCCTTTTTACATTGTTCTATTTGTACTTTTATTTAAGTAAATTATCTGAGTACTTCTTCCACCACCGATAAATGTACATGACATGTACATAACTTTTTCTCCTTTCTGTTTGCCAGGAGCCGTTTTCTGCTTTTCACCCTGATCCAAAGTTTGTGCAAAGGTTTCTGAAGCCTCTGCAGATTGGAGAGCTGGCATCAACAGAGCCCAGCCATGATGGGGGAAAAAAAGTGAGATCTATGTAAATATTCATATACAACCTCACATTATTCTATAGTCCCACGCGTACTGTAATGCCTGAGGAAATGGGGAGGGTCAGACCGGAAAACTGGCCAATCTTGCTTCACCCTTGGAGCTTTACAGGATCTTCTCTTTCTTTTCCTCGCTCTCAGGCTGCGATCGTACAGGAATTTGCTGCTTTACGTGTTCAGGCAGAGAAAGACGGTCTGTTTCGATCTCAGCCTCTGCTCTTCTGCCTCCATGTGGGTCACATCTTGCTGCTGGAGGCGCTTGCCTGGCTGGTGGTCTTGCACTGGGGAACAAGCTGGAGCCTGACATTTTTATGTGCAGTCCTGCTGGCAACTGCTCAGGTGACTTGGTCAAAGTGTTCCCGATGAGGCTTGAATCATGAAGTGAGGTTCTGCAGCAGACAAATCTCGAAATGCTCGTTCCTCTTTTTCTTCTCTAGTCACAGGCCGGGTGGCTCCAACACGACTTTGGCCACCTGTCTGTCTGTAAGACATCCCGCTGGAATCACTTGGTGCACAAGTTTGTCATCGGTAGTTTAAAGGTGACCGGTCTTGTCAGTCGTATATATTTGTTTATTGAAATGTTTCCATAAATATTAAAAGACTGTATTCTTAGGGAGCTTCTGCCAACTGGTGGAATCATCGACATTTCCAGCATCATGCTAAACCCAACATCTTCCGTAAGGACCCTGATATCAACATGTTGGACATGTTTGTACTTGGAACCACTCAACCGGTAGAGGCAAGTATCACAAAGCAGAGATCCTTTAGCATCCAGTGTAACCTGGCTGCCCGCTCTAACTCTGTACTCCTCTTTGTTACAGTATGGCATTAAAAAGATCAAACGTTTTCCCTATAATCGCCAACACCAGTACTTCTTTCTTGGTATGTTTTTTAAGAGTCATTTAAATGAATGAACCCATGAATACTTTACAGGAGAAAGTTTTATGTGTTTCTCTTTTAGTGGCGCCACCGCTGCTCATTCCAGTTTTTTACAACTATCATATAATGCACACCATGATCACCCGCCGTGACTGGGTGGTAAGATTCTGTCTTGTGCATCATACAGTGCAGTTTGTATGTATTTTTCTACTTGACATGAGGATTTAATGCAGGCAAATAGTTTTTAATCTTATCATCTATGTTAAAAAAAACACCACAAAGGAAATAGTATGACTTATATGAACATACAGACGAATTAGGAATGCTTGCTAATTAATAAATGATATTATATTAACCTGCTTGTCTTGTGAAGGATATGGCTTGGGCCTTGACATTCTATCTTCGCTACTTCTGGTGTTATGTACCCCTGTATGGTCTGCTTGGCGCATTGGCACTCATGGCCTTTTTCAGGTAAAACCCCCGAAGAAATATTAACTTGTTTTTATTAGGGATGTCTCGATGTAGGGTTTTTTTTTGGCCCTGAAAGTATCTGCCGGTACCTGTTCCACTCCAGTACTTATTTTTACTTAGAGAAAATGTTCATGAAATATCTGTAACACTGTTTTTTTCAGGAGCTTCTTGGTCCAAATACTGGATTAGGCCCAGATTCCAAATTATTACGTTTATTATCTTAAATTACTGATATGAATGAACGAATAACTGGGGGCTGGACAACACACTCTCAGAGCTACAGACAATGAGGGAATTGTAATATCAACCCACGGTAAAATGCAGAAAATAAAAACTACACACACTTTAAAAAGAACTTCATGTTCAATGGGACTGATGTGTTTTAGCTGTTTTCACTTGATGTACTTCTCTATTTTTGTGGAGTTCGGTTGGAACTAGTGAGCTTTCATTGTTTTGGTAGATTCTGTGGAGCGGTATTTTGCGTGTAACTAAGAAATAATAGACCTGAAGCTAAAAATAGGCATCAGGTCACAGCTATTCCTGAGTGATATGCCGGACATGGAGGCAGTGTTATTGGTTGCGTGAGATACCTGTCTCAAAAACGCAAGTTCAGGATTGTAGTTCTAAATAACAATCAGAATTGGATAGGCTTCATTCTGGGCAATATGAAAAACTAACATCCATCCATCCATTTTCCTCTGCTTATCCGGAACCGGGTCGCGGGGGCAGCAG